AACAATGGTGTCGTGAATAGATACAACTTTCATTATTATTTTGATACGAATCCGCGCGCATACAGGGTCATGAAAAATCAAAATAGGTGATCAGTTCATGTGTAGGGTGGAATACTGGGCCAATATTTAATTGGACCCTATTTTTTTGAAGGACTTCTAAATGGTTTGATGTTTCTCCAGTTTCTAATAAACCATCTCTCAGTATTATTAGAAGAAGTCCCTTTCAATATTAGAACCAACATCTGGCTTCAATTGGATGGAGCTCCGCCTCATTATCACTGCGAAGTTCGGCAATTTTTAAATGCCAACTTTCAAAACAGGTGGATTGGCAGAAATGGGTTTCAAGATTGGCCCCCCAGATCTCCGAACTTAACTCCACTACATTTCTTTTTGTGGGGGTACATAAAAGGAATTGTCTAACATACGCTTCCGACAACTTCACACGATATGAAAACACGCATAAGAGACGCTTTTAAAACTGTAACTCCGCAAATGTTGTCCAGAGTTAGCAGTTGTTTTGAAAAAAGAATTTACAAGTGCCTGGAAATGGACGGTCAACATTTCGAACATTTGTTATAATTAATTTGCCTCGGTTTTATGGCATTGTTGATATGCCTAGCGTTATTGCTGCTTTAAGCCTTGGCATGCATGAAAATGCATGCCAAGGCTTAAAGCAGCAACAACGCTACACATAAAAACTGATGATGGTGGAAAATACACCGAAATGTATTTTGATTGATAAATAGAGACAATAAATGACTGAAACCCAGGAATGAATTTGATTTGGAATTGAAACACAGTCAGGAAAGTATATACTACTGTTGATATGTTATTTAACCTTTTAATTTAAAAAAACACCAAATGGTGCACAAATCCATTATTTGGTGTATTTTGTAAAAAGGTAAAACTTAGTTATCAACATCCTAGTACCAATCGATAGGTAATTAAAAATTGCATTTCCTGGTAAGCTAAAAATTATGGGGTTGTATTTAAATTAATCAAGTTATAGCCACTTAAAGTTCTTATTTGATTAGTTTAAATTTGTGGACACTCTGTATAAAATGGTAAGTTTATTAT